CACTAGCCTTGAGCTGAAGAGCTGAGGGAAAGTGCCCAGGCCCAGAGTTCAGGCCCTGAGACTGGCAAAAAAAAAACAACTATTTTCTTAAAAACTATGCTTGCTTTATATGATTTAATAAATTCAGAAATTAAACTAATATTTGAATGGTAGTTTAATTCAGAAAGCCAAAATAAAATTGTTTTAAATAAAGAGGTGTATGAAATAATGCATACTCACAGAGAAACTACTTTATGATTTCGATGAAGAATCAGAGACAAAATTAGTCTTAACAATGAAAACAATATGTTTTCTTCATTTTTCATTCTCTTCTCATTATCTCACCTGTTCCCTCCTTTTTACCCATATCTTTCCTGTACGTAGTTTTCATGTGGATGAAATTAGGAATTCATGACTCTAGAAAATAAATGCACACATGTACTGTGAATTATCTCATTCCTTTCTTTATACACTTATGCTCTTGGTTATGATCACAATTAGGTGACAAATATCTGCAGTGAGACAAGCAGTTAACTCTGCTAAGGAATTCCAAGGAGAAATTCACAGGATGTTATTGCTAGTAAAATATTGACCTACAATGTATACTCCTTCTTTCATGCAATGAATGCTTAATTTCTTCTTCCTCCTCCTAATACTGGAAAGACAGTGTTGAAAAGGGAACTTAATTAAATCTGAGTGTTTAATAAAATAAAATGTTGCACATTCCTCTGTATATCATGTCCAGGGTTACTAAATTAGAATGAAATAAAGCTATTGTGACTCTTGCCAGTTTTTCTTGACTATTAAAACTAACTTGTGGTCATATAAAGCCATATAAGACTTTATAAAGGCATATTTAGTTCCTGCCTACATTTTCCATCTAATTTTATTTTAAATTAGATTTTCTTACTACAATGTATTTGTATTTGAAATCCATATATAGAGTTGTAATCATAGTCTATGAATTCTCTAAATTATATAGTTTATGAAAGCTATCATGTAAGACTTACTTTAGTTATCTTAAGTTTAATTCCCTCAGGGTGGACATAAAATAACAAGGGTTATCTAATACTGTAACAGAAACTATGATTTCTCAGAGTTTTAAAAATTGTTATCTCTTTACTAAAATGCCAGAATATGGTCCATAATCCACTCTGCCATTGTGGAAAACAGAGCAAGAAAGACGTTTCTGTAAAGTTTTTTCTAGCACAGATTTGTGCAGAAGCAAATTAGCATCAGAGATCATTTCAGTAACTGAAACACAGTTAAAGGTAGTGGTAGAGAGGTCTCCATCAATTAATGACTTAGATTCGAGGGAGATTCATTCTGGTTTTGTTGTGGATCTACACAGAGTAGAAGTGGATACAGAAGACAATAAATAAATGAACAGCATTGTGGAAGCTCCATAAAAGAAGGCTCCAGACAGACTCAGGCTGAGCTAGTGTTTATTCCTATGACGCAGAAAAATTAGAGCTTAAAAAATGCCATCCACCCCTCATTTTTGTTTTCTTCCAGTTATTAATGTTCAATTAATACTCTCTGTTGTAATTATCAAGTCATCATCTACAGCAAACTCTTACTGTTCAGACTGTACTATTCAGAACAGAGAGGTAATTCCTCTCAGAATTATGCTTCCTACCTGCTTACCTTCAGCTTCTTCCATAAATGTATATATGATAACTTTAGCAATGAAAAATAATTTCTCTTTTATGTGTACTACACTAGATTTCTTCTATTTGTTCTCCCTTTCCTTCTCATGTTTGCAGCTTCTCCACTGGGGCAATCCTGATTTATAATCCATAGTTCCATTCCTGCAGCCAACAACTGCAGCATGACTGGTCTCTCAAGTCAGATATTAGCATCCTTAAAATGCTTGTGTCTTTGTTATATTGATTGGGGAGATTCATGATATGTCCACAAATATACATGCATGCATGCCTGCAGGCACCCTACATGCATATACACATACACTTTAATCTTCTTATTAGGTTTCATAGGAGGCATAGCAGTCAGAAATATCTCACTATCTCAAATTAGTAATGGGATGATGAAGCTGAGTGAAGGTTAAAGTTGTCTCAAGTCTTAGTATCTTACTGAATCTGTGCATCCATCTATCTCTACATACACACGAGTACGCGTGCATGTGCACGTGTGTGTGTGTGTGTATGTGTGTGTGTGTCTGTCTCTGTCTGTCTGTCTGCCTGTGGTGCTGGTCCTGGAGCTTAATTGTACTCAGGATCTGGGCACTGTCCATATGCTTGCTTGTTTATTTATATATTTAGTTAGTTTTTGCTCAAGGCTAGCATTCTACCACTTGAGCCCACCCCCACCTCAACTTCTGGCTTTTTTTTGAGGTTAATTGGAGACAAGAGTTTTGTGGATTTTCTTGCTCAGGCTGGCTTCAAACTGTGGTACTCAGATGTCAGCCTCCTGAGCAGCTAGGATTACAAGCACAAGCTACATGGTCGCAGCTGTTATTCAATATTTAAGAGCAAGTTTACTAAACATTCAGACCTATTTTAATTGGATCCTAATTTCTAAGGAAATTCTCCTTTTGGTAGGCTCTAAAATACAATACATGCTTACCAACATTCAGAACATGCTCAACCAGAGAATTTGCTGGCAGATAGACTGGGATACTTCTCTCCACCTGCCTAGATCTTTGCTGCTCAGTTACATTCTGTTAAGGATGCTACAGAAGTGTTTGATGAGTTAACTGATCTCCTATCATTTAATTTCCTAAGTATCTGTTTGGAAATGTTAAAATAACCAATATATCGATATCTCCATACTTCTTTTATGACAGAAAGCAATGAGATGTCTCTTTATGGTGATTCTGGTGTTTATCATTTTTTAATGACAAAGTTGTCTAGTATGTACTTTCTCTTGGAACTATAATGGATATACAGATTTTCAGTTTAGTATGGAGAGTTATAAAAACTTTAAATGTTTGCAAGAAGAAATCATCCAAGGACTAGAGAGGATTTGATAAGACACAGAACATTTTCTATCAAGAGCCTCATGCCAGATCTTCCATAATGATGGTTTTGAGGGTCATTAATAGAGAGTAATTTTTGTCAGATTTTCAGATGGCAACAAGATTTTGACTATTTCACTTGACTATGATACAAAAAATGAAACATAGGCAACTGAAGGAGAGAGCTTCTACAAGGCAAAATAAAGCAGATCTTCAGAATGTCCTGGGAG